AGAATTGTAGCTCTCTGCTTGCGAAAGGTCGGACAGTATAAAGCAGAGAGCTGCAGCTCCATGCATTGTAAAATCCTTCGATTTACGCCGTAAAATTTTAGTCGCTCACTTCAGGTATTATTTCTTGAAGTTTATGATTTTTCCTTTCTTAGAATGGTATCCGATAATTGATATATAAAGGTACTTTACTCCAAAAATTGATATTTAAATTACTTTTTAACGGTCCGAAAAAGTCCTCTATTGATTTTAATTGTCGGTTTTATACTGTTGAAGAGATTCCCATTTTTACGTCAACTTCCTTAAACGGTTCTTCTCGAACTGTTGAAAGGTAAAAAGTTAGGAATACTGGTTAAATGTATTGTCACTTATCAAATATCATTTACAAAGCTGAAGAAAACATAAACTACAAAGAATACCCGAAGTGAGCGATACAAAATCTGCGGCGTAAATCGAAGGCTTTTACAATGCATGAATCTTTAGCTCTCTGCTTTATCCGTCCGAATTTTCTCAAACAGAGTGGAGTTACAGTTTTACAGCTTCTAAAAGATTGACAAGATGATTACAAACTTCAATGCTAATTTTTAACCAACACTAAAACGGGTTGAAGAAAGATACTTAACTGGTTTATTAATTGAATATAGTGATTGTGTTTCCAAACTCCCAAAGCAAGATATTGTGTTGAATATGATCAATTTTGAAACAGATTCAAGCCACTGACAGCTATTTTGAACTAACAACGATTTTTACAACCTTGTTACACTTCAAATTATCAAGAACCTAATAACATTCATTAAAGCTTTACTCTCACATGTAGTAAAAGTATAAAAACATTTTTCATGTTTAAATCGAAAAATTGTTTCCAATGTTGCTTGATGTCAAAAAGATAAATAGACCTTGGACATATATGTTTTATTATGAAATACATATCTACACCACGAATGATAAAATTTAAAAAAAAAATCGTAATTTCATCTTGCAGAAATTATTATTCCAAACAGTGAGTGATTTTGTTGGTCAGCTATTTATAAACGGAAAAGAAGTAATTTGCATTGGAAAGAAGGTCAAAATCTTTTTTTATTTTGCTATTTGCGAGGGATGTTCCGCGTTGCAGTGCCCTTTTCCCAATTTTTCCTACTTTCGAAAAAAGGTTACCAAAGTTTGAAACTGTGTAATTATAAACACTACTGAACTGTTATCGGCTTATCGACTTGTGTAAACACTGCCTTTGAACACGATTTTAGCAACTCTGATTTGATTTGAACATATTTTATTGCTTATACTTTACAATTGGGATTGGGCAAAAGTTCTAAAAATTATTACGCCCTCTCCCTACATATACATTATACCAAACATATTTACAGACATGGGTTTCAGCTTAAAATGAAATAACAATAATAATAATACGAGGGTTGATCCAAAAGTTCGTGGAATTTCTTTCTTAAATTTTATCGTGATTTGATGCAATCAATCAACAGGCATATTCATAATATAGAGTCATAATGTAATGTTCAATATTGGAAAATTTAACCACTTTCCGATTACTAAAAAGGTCACACGAGCTTTCTGAAAATAGATTGTTAGGAAACCCGGGGGAGACTTCGACGTAACGTCAAGTCAGATATGTCACGTCACGTTATAGAAGCATCTCGCCCAAATGTTTAATTATAATACGTAATTCAACAAAATGCTGACCTTTTCTCGATTTTTTTCTCAAGAAAAGTCTGGGTATCCTCTCGCACCAACTTATTTTTATTTTTTACTCATATTTCCAAATACTACCCATCTTCCATATGATGTTCCAATTTCAGTAGCAATGTCAAGAACAGTACGGCAGCTGATAACGTCTATAACGCTTTTAATTTGTCTAGGGGGACACGTACTTAAACAGAGCCTCTAAAAAAGCGACCACACCTTTTATCAACGTCCATGGAAGCTCTATTTTTCTTAAATTTCTTATGCTACTGGAAAACCAGTAACTAATTGCATTTTTCCCAAGCCTATGTCAATAATATACGCGTTTTAGATAGAGTGATCCCGGGATTTTCACAAAACTTATGACTAGACCGAAATTTGACTTTGTCTAGCAACTTAAGATGAACAATAAATCATTAACTAATAAACTAAATATCCAGTAAAATCAGTAAAACTCTTACACAAAAGTATATAAAAGATCAATCAATCGTAATAATGACACAATTTTCGTTTTATATACCAGAAAGGGCGGTTTAATTATTATTTCAAGTAAAAGATTTAAAATTATTATAAAAGCTTTAATGTCTCCCCCGCATTTCCAAACAACTGTTTCTATGGCAACTGCCATGAAGTTACTTTCCAAGATATTTAAAATGTTTTTTAATTTAAAATATATATATCAAGTGTCTATATTTTCATGTGTAATTTTCAACCAATTCCACTGAAAAATAAAATAAAATATGAAGAAATTCCACGAACTTTTGGATCAACCCTCGTATAATAATAATCTGTAATAATCTGAGTAAAACACATTCAATAGAATACATTTCATATGTAATAGACATGCTGTATAAGATTTACAATCAGAAATTATTATTGTATCAACCAAATCGTCCTGACTTTTTAATAAAAGTTTGTACAATAGAAAATAGGTATTTTAGCAACTCTTTCATAGTATTTAAGAAGTTTTCGATGATTGGTGATGACATACCTAATTTTGTGATCGTGTTGGAAGGCGTTTGCATGTAAAAGCTTAGGGAGAACGCTTGCTGTGACATTAATTCTAGCTGAAAACAAAGGTACGTACACTTTAGAGGTAGAAATACGATAAACTTTACTAATCTTGTAACTTTTTTCTTTTTATTGCATTAGATTTTTTATGAGTTTCGTTTACCCAAAATAATAGATTAAAAAAAACTATTTTTTTTTATGATTGAGTGTTGTTTAATGTCATTCTCGAGAATTTTTCACTCATACGGAGACGCCTCCATTTACCGGTAAAGAGCAACAAATATTTGACCTATACTCGGCACTTAGAGCCATTGAGTTGTTTAGGTATCTTTTTCGTGTCAGCACCTACTGCGACACGCGACCTCGGTTTATATGGTCTCATTCGAAGGACCGGTCTCCACGTCCCACAGTGGGATTCGTACCCGCGACGTATCAAATTTTTGCTTCGCGACTCTAGAGCAGACGCTCTAACCACTGCGCCGCGTGGGCAACCCAATTTTTATGAGAGTTTTACTTTTTGATAAGAATGACAATTTGTTTCTAAAACCAGATGAACTTACAATACTGAAAATATACTTAAACAATTTTTTGCTATATTAATTTTTTTGTGAAAGATCTTTATTTTGTAGAAATAAGCACAACCAAATTGAGTCCTGAAAGTCAGAAAATAATCACTTAAACTTATTAAAGAATTCTGATCTTAAGCAATTTTAAGCTATCCCATTACAATAATTCATTTTCAATAAATAGAAATAAAGAAGTTATTTTGTTATTTGTTGAAAGCAATTGCAATTTAAAAAAAAAAAAATTGATGATAGAGTCTCACAAGACGAAGACAGAATATGCTTTTGTTCACATAATTTAATCAATAATCTTATCAAAGGCGGTACACGCCGGGTTAACTTCCAAATTTTATATAAATAGAGAAATTTGGTTTAAAGTTAAACTGTTTTTTTTTTTTTACATTTTTTATACGTCTAATTGAAAAAGTTGGAAAAAATATTTGATTTATTTTTGAGTTTTTATTTTTAAGTATTTCAAATGAATTTTATGAGTGATAAAAGGAAGAAAAACAAGTTTGGTTCTATTTTTTCTTCCCTTTGAATTTCCAAGCCTCAAAGGTAATCGTTTGACAATTTTATTTCATTGGGAAGAATTGATAGTTTCCGATTATGACATTTTTGCGTGTTAATTTCCAATTTATAAAAAACTTGTTTGCTCTAGTGTCTGGGGGAAGATGTTGATCATTGAGTTGGGGGGTCTAATCCCACAGTCAGCCAAAGCTGGGCATTGAGACCGGTCCTTGAGAGAAAATCATACAAACCGAACTCCACTGTCTCCGTAGGTACTGGCAAGAAATGATCCCTGACTGCCCAGAGGTTCTGCGTGAGGAGTATCAGTCTAAATATGTAGTCCTCCACCGACAAATGATGGCTTCACATCATTAGTTAAAAGTTCTCCAAGGGACGTTTACCAAACATACAAACAAACCAAACATACAAACAAATCATTCATACAAACACACCAAACGTGCAAAAAAATCAAATATACAATTAAATCTAACATACAAAATCTAATGAAATGGAAATCACTTGTGTAATTTTTAAAACACAATAAGCTGTGTTTTCTCAAAGAATTATTTTAACCTAAAAGCGTTGATAAATCAAATGTTACTTTTTTCTTTTTGATATTCAGAAATATTTCTACTTAATTTACTCCTTACCAAAATTCAAATTAAGAGACTGGAATTTCTTTATTGTCCCATAATACTAATTCCGAACCCATTAATTTAACTTAAGGATCTTACATGTACATACATGTATAAGGTCGGGTGACCGAGTAGATTTGGTCGAGGGACCTCATCGGTATATTCCGGATATATATGCTACTAGAATGGAAAATATCTAGCATTTTTCTTTTTATCAATAATAGCAATGAAAAAATTTGTAATTGCACTTTTTCATAGATAATCCTATGCAAATACACGCATGACATGATTTCTTAAAACCATTTTATTGCATATTTCACAACTGAACTAGTTTTTCCATGGAGACAAGTGTTGAAAATGTTTTGATAGAATTAAACTTTTTAAAATTTCAAATAACGATGAGGAAAATAGTTACAAGATACATTTATTCATTAAACAATTCAGAAAGAGAGTAAAATTTTAAATTCTAATGGCAATATTACATATTCTGGTATATATCACTAATAATATGGAAGTTGACACCAAACACACTAACTTCCTCATTTAGTTGTTAAAGATCGATTTCAATCACCCATTTTATCTATTTTATATTCATTGACAGAATAATTATGAGGTTTTCACTTTTCTGGATTGTTATTCTTTACTTTCAAAATTCTGCTGCAGTGGAAAAGTGTGTTAAGTAAGGATTTTTGCTTCAGTTAAACGCCCAAATATGAGATTTTTCAAATCAAATTTACTGTAATTTCTAAATTTAAAAGTCGTTTCTTCAATGCTCAAAAAGGTTTTAAAAGTAAAAAAAGAAGAAATTTCTTCACATGAAGATATGTTACTCAGTTGTTAGTACAATACAGGCTTAGGTTTTACAAATAATAAATTCGTGGTTTGGTACATTATTATGTAACAAACTGAATCTATGCAAGGAATAAATAATTTGATCAAATATATAAACATTTTTAAATGTATAATTCTTTTGATTTGGATTCTTTTGATATGCTATCTGCTTTAGACAGTTTATTGTTTTCTGTTTTACTTTTACTGTCGCTTTCCAGATCTGGAGAATCAACCTTATGCTGTGCAGATTACCATTTAGTGAAGGGGCAGTGTGTTCGTATGTATATATTTAGTGGAATATATTGTATTTGTATTCTGTAGAAATTATGAATTCTATTTATTACCAAAATTACTTTCGTATAAGCATGTCCCAAGGGGCTGTTCGGGCCGGGATGTCAGCACACGTGTCCTTTTCCAAGTTATGGTCACCGCTGTTTGGAGGGTGAGTGCAGGTGTCCCCAAGAATCATGTACCCCCAGGACTGGCTGCAGCGATCGTGAGTATTGTACACAGTACTTCATATATTTTATTTCAAATTACAACTTTCCTCGTAAATCTTTTCATATCTCATAGTGTCTTGAAGAATGTGCTTTCCATTATTAAATTTGTAAATCTGTCCTATAATGCTACATTTTAGATTGTAGGCAATGATTATTCAGGTATCCAAATATCTAATCTAACCAATAAACAACAAGATTTCCAAGTATTAAGAATAAAAGTAAAATATGTGAGAGTGCAAGGATGTGTCAATCAAATTTACATAAAAGTTTGAAGTTTCAATAACTTTAAGATGAAATAAATTTTTTTGTATATTTTTGTGTGAAATGCTATTAAAATATATAATTCGTGATATTATACAGAAACTATCAACTTTAAATCTGTGTCCATGCTCCTTTAATCTATGTTACATGTACATTTCACAGGAGAGAGTTTTAAATTTTTTTTTCTTATCTAGCTTCACTCAATAGACTTAATCCGGTGTTTCATTCGGATTTAAGTTCAAAAGAAACCATTCAAAAATCGAAAATTGGAATCTCTGGCCACAACGAACAAACTACCGATGAGATGAAGGAATATGAAGAAAATAAGTCAAGTTCATCCGCTGTGATAGCCGTCATGTCAGTGATTGGTGTACTAATTATATGTCTGATATTATCAGTAATTGTCTTCAAGCTAAGAGGAAAAATAAAACTCCGTGTACAAAAATCGACTAAAAGAGGTTCTCAAATCGCAAGTCATGTTAAAACGTATTGCGAAATTGACGATTACGATGTTATGGAGGACGAATTCGGCGAATCTGAAACTTACGAAAAAATTGACCAGTCCCAGAAGGAGGGACTCAAGTACACCTCATTACCAACAAGGCCAGGTTTATCCAAAAAGGACCGAGACATTATGTCCAGTCTATCAATGCAGAAAATACTGGAGGATGACGACAAAGAAGAAATGGAAACAAAAGTGCGGCTGAGAAAAGACAAAAACTTTGACGCAACATTACTAAAGCGAATGGGTAAAACAGGTACCCAGGTCAGCGGGTATATTGAAATGACTAAAGGAACTGAATTGGAGGATTATGTTCCTATGACTACAGATCATCTTGAACCTAATGTATCCGAGATAACAAATGATGAAACTTAGACAAACAAATCGTCAATTAATTAAGAAAACTATTGGAATTTTTTTTAACAAAAAATCTTTCTTTCTTCATTACACAAAAAGCACCAAAATGAAAACACGAAGATTAAAAGATATACGTATGATTTTAATTATAGTTATGTTACGTTGTCTACCTGCTTCAAAATATAATGAATGATAAGAATTTGTACATTTGTAACACTGAGAATACAGGGAATAAAGATTATACACAGGGTTGAGTCATATCCGCATATACGACTACATAGTTATATATAAAGTATTTTTTCACAAATGAACATGCATTAAATGAGGGTTACAAACTTTTGTTAATAACTAACAACTCAAATATATTACAAAAACTGATGACTTAAACATTTACATGGGAATTTGTTTTTTTTAATTATGCGATATTATATTTTATGATCATTTATATGTGGTTTTAAGTAAGGAATGTTGACGATGGAAAAGCTGTTTTCATCTTGTTTATCAAATAATTGAATTATTAGTTGTTCCTTATCATCTATAATCAGTAAGAAGGATATGGAGATAACGAACAGTATTCAATATCAAAGTCCATAAAACAATACAAAATAGGAGCAGAGCAAACAGGGACCCCCGAAACATCAGAAGTGGGATCGGGTGCCATGCATGAGTGAGGATCCCCTGCTGTCCGGTCACACCCGCCGTGTGCTCCTTATCATGATTGGGAAATAACAGAATTATTTGTCGTCAATTCAATGTATAAATAATAGATTAACATCAAGTATTATAAACGTCAGTCAGCATTTGACACAGTGGCAAATTGTATTTGATGACAAGGCCATTGTATCAACCATAGAACTTACGAAATAATGACCTTAAACGAGACTGTGTCAGACTCTGTAGTTCCTTTTATCTCAAGCTCACAAGGATATATCGATTAACGTAGGAATGTAAATCAATATTGTAAATTGACAATACGTTGTCGATATATCTAAATGTCGAGTTGAAGGCCACAGCAAGTGTTTTCATCTTTCAACGCATAAGATGTTGGACAAATTCTGCTTCATATGAATTAAAAAATAGTCTGCTTATAACGAAGCGCATGAGAAGACGGAGAACCCATGAAAATTCCAATAGATAACTGGAAGATCTGGTCTCAAAAACAACATAGATATTGTCAACTAGAAACTCAAGCATCTTTTGATGTCAATTTCAGATCACTTTTGTGTGCAATCATAGTGTTTTTTTCTGGAAATGACCAATGACCAGTTAAGTATGTTAATCTACGAGTTCCATTTTTTTTAAAAGCAGCTGTCAATGATTTCAAAAAGCCTGGCTTATAATTTATCGTGGGGAATGGTTGTTTATAAAGTTGAAAAGTCGTAAGTTTTTAAGTTCTTCGTGAAATCTTGTGATTTCAAATTGTTCAAAATTTGTTTTGAATTTTTGAGTTTCCACATCTGATTCACACCACTTCTAAATTAAATAAATTGTTGCATTGTACTCTTGAATTTTTTCCTTCACTACCGTCAATATCTCAGAGAGGAGTAAAGAAAGAGGCTTGGTTGAACAGTTACTTGAACCTGCAATGTACCTTTGTTTGTAAGAATTCTTACAAACTTTCGGAATCCAAGATATATATGGTAGTTTTAATTTATTTTGGTTTTCTGGGCTATTAAAAATATTCAAAAATGGCATATTATTTTGATAAAAGGAAACTTTGAGTATAAGTTGGATTAGCATTTGTAGAATAAAATCGAAGTTCTTCTAAAAAATTAAATTATATAATGAACCTTACAAACAATGTTGTTATCTGCTTAATAAGTCAGCAGGGATCAGTATGTACTGATTATGTAATCTATCTAATTCTTTTTTCACTTTTGGATTATGTCTAGATGTCCAGAAGGATAGATGGTTTCATATTGCCCTCGATCTTTTAATACGCTTTTTCAACATAAATGTGATGCATTTGTATCAATTCTGACAAAGTGGCGCCTTCTTTTTCATAACTGGCACATTGTCTGGAGTAATATTCAACAGAATATATATGTATTTATGAAAATCAATCGCCCGTTGAAGGATCGGCATTTCTTATATTTATGACCTTTCAAAATAAGTGATCTAATGTCCTTAGTATTAACTATATGTCACCTATAATTACATGACCATCAGGACAACAGTTGTAGGGCGAAAAAGAACATGAACGCGATGGAGAATTATGTTTCAGATACTCGATATCCAGGCCATGTTAACTTTATTTGAAATTGATTAAGAATATTACTTATATCAACTGCATTAATTTTTTTACTGTCATATTGAAGTTTCAGGTTAGCTGTATTTTTTTCAGTAAACATGCGAGTTTAAAAAGCCTGTGATTTGCAATATCAATGATCACAGGTCCGAGCCTATATCAAGGTGTCGGTGAATGATCAGAAATTGAACTTTCCTTGGGCTTTTCAAAACACTTTTAAAAAGTTTCAAGGGACGGAGTAAAATTTGATGCGAATATGATGTACATCTAACCATTGATATAAATATAGTAAAATTGAATCAAAAGAGACATTGTGTATTACAGGTTTATTGTTAGACCGATGATCATAACTACGCTTACTACGCTTACTTATATGTTTGTGCTTAAAAAGTCCGATCACATACCGTAAATCTGGAAATTTTTACTGTAGATAATTTTTTAGCAAATTTGCGCGTGCATTGCATTCGCAAAAATATTTTTCTTAAAAATAAATCAACATGTGAAGAATTTTTTTCTGAGATTTTGTGTCTTTTTTTTTTAACTCAGTGAATATGCGTCGGTAAACACTGGTCATTTTTAAAAGAAACCTGTTTACACTAGTCTACTGTATAACAAGTTAATTACCCGCCGGTGTGTGTAAATTGCCCTCATTATATGCAATATTGTCCGATGATTTGACAAGCATTGAGGCGGTATGTCCCTTTTTAATTATTTTCATCAATTAATTTGCCAATAAAGAGAGAACTGTCATTTTATCTAACCGTGTATCAACACGGGCGATAACTCAAACTCAGTGCATGTACTAGAAAGTTCCGAATGTAAACGCGACGTGTAAATTATAGGTGAGAAAAAAACAAATGTTGAGAAATAAGTTATATTTTTTTCTTCATTTGGATTATACTTTAGGTTAAAACACATACACAACCTTTAAAATGTTTTTTATAATTGATTTAGAATTTATTTTCAGTGCAAATCCTTTTGTATTTTTATTAAAATTGTTTTGGAGCGATTTTGCAATATCTTGCCACGTTGCAAGTATATTGGTGGTATTCTAACTGGGCATATTATTTGAAACATAACCTGATATGAAAATCTTCAGTGATTTTTATTTTTAGCACCAGTGACAATTCGCAAAAATTTGAAGCGTAAAAATTAATCAACAGCTTTTTGACCCAAATTCGCAAAAAATAAATCGACGTAAAAATTTCCAGATTTACGGTACACATTAATACACTATGGACTGAAAAGATTTCCAACACTGTCGACTTTGTTATTACATCCATAGGGAAAGGTTGTCCCTACTTGTCCCTAGTTTTCTAATCCAAATTTTCGTTGTCTACGGAAAGATAAATCTTTTCGAGAATTCCAGCTTGCATTCGCAAAATTAAATGATCAGGTAAATTGAACTGTTTGTATAAAAGCTGTTGACCCCCATGATTTATTTGAATTCGATATCATTTTATTAAGTGAATCATTGGTTTCATAAACATAAACAGGTCCACACAGAGTACATTCTATTTCATAGACAACATAAGATTCAGATTTTCCCAAGTTTTGGTAAAGAAGCTCTGTCCAATAAGATAACAGGTGTAAGAAGTGTTAGTTTTCAATTTCAAGCTTCATAACGATACTTCTGTTCTATATAGAATAATTTAAAGTGTTATCCTTCATGGCTGAGGATCATTTATTTATATTTTTTTATAACATAATGTGTGTATATCTGCATATCTTGAAATCAATGAAAATTTTAATTTAGCTTTCAATAGAGAGAGAGAGAGAAGGAGAAGAAAGAGAGAGATAATTAATAATTCCACTTTAGAAAGAGAGAGAAATCATTTATAATTCCACTTTTAGATTATAAGGAAAAAAATTAAAAGCTCCTTGGAGCTTTCAGGCATTTTACAGGAAAATGTTGAAAAATGCTTTTCAAATAGAAGTATTTTCAATATAATGAAAGGAAGAGATCATTTATTTTGCACGATTTTTTGGAAATACTGGTAAGGCAAAACTTTTAGAAATTTAGATATCATAGGAGAGGGGATAGGGGTAAACGGTAGTTGAGAGAGGGAAAGGAGAGGGAGAGAAAGGGAGTAATTATTGTTCTTCCCACTTCTAGATTTCAAGGAAAAAGTAAATTACTCTTCGATTTTTTTTTACAGAAAAATGTTGAATTAATTTCAAATAGAAGTTATTTCAATATGTTGAGAGGAAGAGATCATTCATATTTTACACGATTTTGAAAGCAAGGCAAAACTGTGAAACCGGAACTTTTTTTTCAATTATTGAAAGGAATTTTAATGTTTTTGTTTTATTGCGTATTTTTTTTTATTTTTATTTTTAATCTACGAATGAGTTATACTTGATGTTATCTGAAATATGTAATAAACTAGCTTACCTTTTAGTCAATTTTTCTCTGAAATATGTGTAGATAACAAGCAGTATTCGTTCTCGTAAGGCGATTAAACATTACAAAATAGGAGAGGACCTCTAAAACATCAGAGGTGGGATCAGGTTCCAAGGAAGAGTGAGTATCCCCTGCCTACCGATCACACTTACCGTGTTCACTAAAATATGATCGTGAAATAACCGAAAAATCTCTTAATAACCCAGTGGGTAAATAATGGCCTAGCAACAAGTATGAAAAAAAAAACCACACAGCATTCGACATAATAATATTTTAAGTAGTCGATGCAATTCACTGTTCTTTGACAAGTAAAAGCTTAGCAGAGATTCTTGAAAATGAATAATGAATATATTCCTCTGTCTGTATTGTTTTAAATTTCATTTTAAAATCAACACTTTGTGCTTAAGGAAAGATCTGTATGACGAGGCTTGACACATTAAATACCTTCCGTTTTTAAGGACATGTATGGACTAGGTTCACACTGTCTGATGTTTGCTGGAGAGGTTGCTATTTTGAAACAACAGGGCTCTATTACATAGATAGTTATGCTTGACAATGTCTGTTTGCTGATTATTTTCAAAGAATGGTTTGGTATACTGAAAATTAAGACAGATGTGATCGCTCGAATGTTTTCTCCTCCATAGCACCTGATCCCGCTCTTATGATTTTGAGGTTTGTTTTTCCATTGTATTGATTAATCTGACTTTGAGTTTGAATACGGTTCATTATCTCTATATTTCATGAAGATACACATTATGACAGAATGTTTGGTGGTTTGTTGAATTCTTTTGTCTGACCTACAGCCTTTTTGGTGGTTGTAGGAATGTCGTCTGCCGCTATCCCCATCAGAATCTCCTTGACCTCCTTCTTGAAGATATATTTTACCAGTCTCTCTTTTTGTTTATAAACTGTGACATGTTTAGCTGTAAAATATAGCATGTTATATAGAAATGTTGAATCATCATATATTATGTTTTTAAAAATGGCTAATTGTAATTGGTTTTTTTTTTTGGAAAAATGTTATGATACTCGGCGGCTGTGACCAGTCGGCAGGGGGATACTCACTCATCCATGGCACCTGATCCCACCTCTGATGTTTTGAAGGTCTGTGTAAGCTCTGCTCCTATTTTGTATTGTTTTTTGGACTTTTGATCTTGATTACTGTTCGTTTTCTCCATATATGTATTTTATTTAATGAGTGTATTAAGACATACCAAGAAATATATGATATATGCAATTCTGACTGCAAATTCCTTTTGGAGACAGTTGGATTTTACATGTTTTAAAATAAAAATAAAAAAATTTAATATGTAGATAAAATTCTTTATTCCCTTAAGTTTTAATGTTCCGGGGAATCATATTTTTTTATTGAATGCCAGATGTTGCATTATAAATTCAATTCTAAGTTATTTTATATTTGTAGATAAAATATGTGGATATGACGAACACAATTCGAGATCAAAAATCCATTTGACATCACAAATAAAACCGAGCTAACATTAACCTCCAAAACATCATAGTTGGCACCAGAGTGGGTATTAGGTGCCATGGAGGAGTGAGATTTTCCTACCCACCGTTCACACCTGCCGACTGTTCTATGTCATGTTCGGGAAGTACCAGAATGTCCGTCGATAAATCAGTGTGTAAGTAATGGCCAAACATTCAGTATGAAAATGGTCAGTTAGCATTTGACTTACTAATAAATTGTATTTGCTGACAAAGTCATTGTTTCGTCCATGGAACTTACAAAATTATGACCTAAAGCAATACTACTGATATTCTCGCAAAATCCACTTGTTTGTCAATAACTTTCCTCGTTTAAGAAATCAGTTGAGAGTTATAAACTTTGTGTTCAGTGACAAAATTACATTGCTGCAAAAGAAAGGGAAGCTGATAAAATATAGATACAACTAGTAGCAAATAAATAATTAACGACCCGCCGATTCATTTTTATCTTTTATGTTTTGAAATAGATTTCATATTCAAGAAATGAATATTGGTTTTTTAAAAAAGCAATATTATTTTTTTTTTACTTAAATCTCCAAATAATTCTGCAATTTTATTTTTTGTATTACATGTTAAGGAGGCTGGGGGTCAACAATTTAACCACAAAGTAACCACCAGATTTGACTTATTTTTTAGATATGGTATCTTAAGCTGTCAACATTCATTTGACGAAGAATAAATTCATAAATTTTAGTTTTAAATTTTGATCATTTTTGTATATCTTTATATGGAGCTCTTCTTTTAAAGGAGATCGAAATAGTCTGAAAATGGCTGCCATCCCCAGCCTCGTTAAGTATCATACAGCAATTTTGTCTGAATTGAATATAAAAATTTGCAAAATCGTATAGCCATTTAAACAAATTGGCTATTAATATTCAAGAGATTGCAATATATAAAACCGGTAAAAATTGATTACTATATGAAGGATCACTTTAAAAATGAATTATTTCCTCAATTGACCATATGTATAACAATCACATGTTTCACTAATTGTCTAACAATTCTCTGTCCAACGTCATGATTGTATTTGTTCATTGGATGACGCTTTTTTTATCTTTCCAAAAAACATTTGGCGTGGAAAACTGTTTAAAGTAAGAAAAGCATTTCCAAATATTATACGAAGTATAATTTATATATTTTACATAATTCATATCTAATTTAAAAATATGATGGACATAGCGGATCTTGATTCATATCAAATTTCAACATCAATTGCATATCAGGAATACGTTTTACATGTACATGTACCTAAAGAAAATTTGTCTACGCTTTTGGGCTCAGAAAGAAAATAGCCGTTTATTTTTAAATACAATCCGTATAGTAAATTGATTGGTTGTCAAAAACTCCTGTGGTGTTGCTAAAGGTATTCTCTGCCCATCTTAGAAAATGTTTTTTTTCTATCTTAAGTTTTACATATAAAATTGCACCTGTTTGCTTTAGATCCGGAACATCTTCAAAATGTTGCGCAGACTACTATGTGGTAAATGGAAACTGCGTTCGTAAGTATATCATTTTAATTTGATGTTAATGTTTTAAGTATTTGAAGTAAAAGTAATGTTATGACGATATGTAAAGACTACTATCATTCACTGCAGCTTGTCCAGTCGGACTGTTTGGACCAAACTGTAGTCACATATGTCCCTATCCATCGTATGGTCACCGATGTTTGGAGGGTATTTGCCAATGTCCCCGAGAACTGTGTGATTCAAAGACTGGCTGCAGAAATCGTTAGTATATGATTTATTTTTTTATTATTAGCTTGGTTTGATTAAAGTCCCTTTGTGTTTTCACTTGGTGAAGGGCTCCACATGTAGGTCTGTCTTAAACACTCACTGCATGTCTTTGAGCAGTATGCATGAGGGAACTTTTTCGTGCCAGCATCTATTGAATCAACCCTTTATGTGTATGGTTGTATCTTAAGGACCATTCTCAAAGTCCCACAAAAATAGAGTAAATGCTTTTACCACTGTGCCACTCGGATACTCTAAGACATTTTACTGACCGATTACAAAGATATTTCCGATTTTCGGTTGGATCAAATGGCGAGGATCGTCCAACCCAAGCAGAACAACGGACTTTAAAAAAAGATGATCAAAATTAAATAAAATACAATTTGATTCAAAAGTTTTATAGTCCAAACGTAATTAGTATCATGCTGTATCCAATTTAAGACAAACTCAAAATTATTTATCTGGCATTTTACGGGGTTTTTCGGGGGTACCCTTTTTAAAATACTTTTGTTATGTTTTGATTCTAGTTTTAAAAGTTTTCCTTTCTTAATTTTCTGTTCAACGATAACATCACTTGTAAGGTAGTAACAACATTTTAAGGCGGCCGACTGGGGTTTTATTGTGCGAAAACTACAATAGCGAAACTCTTCATTTTTATACCATATATAACGTATATTAACTTCAGTTTACATGCCAATTTTGGGAAATCTACCGTCTAGGTGTTTTTGAGAGACCGTCCCAAAATAAAGGTACATTTACTATAGGATTATATAGGAAAATGCCAATGCAAGTTATACAAATATTAGAGTAGACATTTTGTTCAAACTATAATATTTGATTAGTAATAATATATTATACAATATAATGTAAGTAACACAAAATTCTACCGTCTTGTTACCCGAGGGAAATCTCAAAATGCCAAAAATTTGCGACTTTTCCTGTTTTTATAGAGTACTACAAAATATGACGGGCGCAAAGGATTCAGATGAAAACATAATCAAAATTATAGAGATATTCTCAAATTTCTATGTTTCAAATTTCAAGAGCGTATGTAACTTTTTCTTAAATAACACTTTTGTTACCCCTTTCTTTAAAAACTTCAGTTTACTAGAATCCTAACGTCAAAAACACACTGTTACAACGTCAACCTACCTATCAATTGCAAAATCGATTAAAAAAATTAGTTATCTAAAATCGTAATCACATTTTTATACGTATAATTTCTTAATTTTGTTTAATTTTAATAATAAAGCGAAAAGTTGCTTTAAAACAGTAAATACGCTACATTTTACTATGATGCGCCAAATATTGCGCAATGGAAACCACAGTCGGCCCCCTAAAAGGAGCCCCGCATTTAATTTTAAAAAGAAGGCATTATAGAAAATGGTTTTCAGTAAAAAAAAAATTTCAAATATCGAATTGTAAACGCAAGGGATTGGCCATATTGCCCGATATTCATTTTCACCTACCGGTTATGAATAGAACTAGCAGTAACTTCGAATGTTTAAACTCATGCTCATGCATGTGCAATATTTCAATCTCAGGGAAAATTGCTAATGGACATTTTCATTATTTCCTCAATAAATAATGATTTTCATATATCCTTAATTAAAGGCTAAGATAAGAAAAAACAATTCTTGACGTGTTGTTTATGAAAGAAATTTCATCACAATAAATTCTTCTGTTTTTGATGGTAATATATTATATAATCTGAACATTTGTCTTCAAGAAATGTTTGATTGGTTAGTTTTTAGAACGTTTTTCTGATATTTCATACATTCATAATGTCAGCGAAGTATGATATGAGAAGTATCAAATGCATCTAAGAGAGTTTTTAACAAAAGAAAATATCTATATATTATAATATAATATATTTATTTTTAGCATCAAAAGAAAAAGATAAACCATCCACCTACTTGGCCTTAGTTACAACAAGAACTGTTCCACAAACGAAACAGAAGGATGTTCTTGGAAATTCAAACAATGGTACTATACCTACTCAGGGGGAATTAAAGGTTCTCAAAGAAGCTTCTGCAGATGAGAAAACCAGTTCTGATGAGTCTGAAGATAATAAAGCCGGTTCTGCCGCGGTGATGACAGTTATCTCTATAATTGGTGTCCTTATCGTCTGCTTGCTTATTGTAGTAATAGTATTCCAACTGAAAGGTAAAATCAAACTGCGAACTCAGAAATCACAAAACCGAAACTCTCATATAAAAAGCCAACGACATGTGGATACTTACTGTGAAATTGACGAAGGTGGAGTGACGGAGGACAAAATTAAAACACTATATAAATCTGAAATTTACGAACTTATCGATCAATCAAAGAAAGGTGGAGCAAAGTATACACCACTTCCGCCAAGGCCAGGTTTATCAAAAGAGGAAAGAGCGGTGATGTCCACGGTTTCAATGCAGAAGATACTCGAGGATGACGATGATGCTGATACAGAGGTAGAAATGAGAAAAGACAAAGGGAATACTCAAAACCCACCAAAGAGAATGGGGAAAACCTCCGCCCAAGTCAGTGGATATATTGACATGAATAAAGAGACACAAGAGGAGGACTATGTTCCCATGTCAGCCGAAAACACTGAAAAAGATACGTCTTCTAAAGATACTGTATAATAAAACTTGGTTACAAGGAAAAAAATATTTGGAAGGAATTTCTGCTGGAAAGTGCCTCGCTTAGAATTTGAATTTATATTGTACAAATGGACAACCTTTTTTCACATTAGTGATGAATGCTTTTTTAACCATGGAAATATCTAACAAATTATGAACTTATATTTTAAGTGTTTCTGTTATGTTTTGAATGAGTCAATAATAAAAGCGTTTTCTTTTTAATTTATTTTTAAAATGAAATATGAAGATTGCTTGTATGCCATATGGAGTAAGCATTCCTTGTTGACCGCACAGAAAAAAGTATTATGGTATCAAAAGGAGAATTAAACATGAAGAAAAGAACTGAAATATACTTCAAGAAAGTATTGATGATATATTGTTTTCTGACGACCTAGCATTTAAAACAAAACTTAATGTTTAATTAAAATATCGTTCAATAATTCATCTACTTAACTTTGTACACGTTGAATCATATACTGAATACAATGGTAAGGAAATAAACAGAAAGTGAGTTTTATTGGATTCACCCTGTAAAGACCAAATATAAAGATATTTCAATTGGACAACAAGGAGAATAAGAAGAACAGATAAAGTTTGCAATCAAATCAAGAAGAGAGAAATTACTTGAAGTCATTTATTTACATTATTAATTAAACCACCGATGATAACGTATAGACAAGTGTAACTAATCAAAATAAACATTAAGTTATTGGCAATAAACTTGTTACAGAGTTACTTTTGGAGTCCAGTGATTTCGGTTGTACAGAAGCCGTTAGGTGCCAAGTAGAAGAAATGGATCATAACAATGAAATAAAAAAAATAGTAAATTGATCACCAATTTCTGTTTTGGAAAGTAACTTACAAATTGAATTTTTTTTTCTTGGTACCATTGTTACAACGAACTTTAAAAATTATGAACTTTGAAAAAAAAAATTCAAAGTGAGTTAAGGGGGCCGACTATAGTTTTATTGTGTGAAAACTACAATAGCGAAACTCTTCATTTTTTTACCATATATTTAACTTACATTAACTTCAGTGTACATGCAAAGTTTGAGGGAAATCTACCGTCCAGGTATTTTTTAAGGGACCGTCTCAAAATACAGGTACATTTACTATAGGATTATATAGGAAAATGCCAATTTTTAGCACTTTAAAGCAAATTATACAAACACTACAATAGACATTTTGTTCAAACTTTAATATTTGATGAGTAATACTATATTATACAATATATGTAAGAAACACAGAATTCCACCGCCTTGTTACCAGAGGGGGCATCTCAAAATGCAAAAAATTAGCAAATTTTTCTATTTTTATAGAGTATTACTAAATATGACGTACACAATGGATTCACATGAAAGCATAATAAAAATTTTGGGGATATTCTCAAATTTCTACGTTTTAAATTTCAAGAACGTATGTTCATTACTTTTTATTTAATTATATTTTTATTACCCCTTCCTTTGAGAGCTACAGATTATCATAACGTCAAAAACACACTGCAACGACGTCAACCTACCTATCAATTGCAAAATCGGTTAACAAATCAGTTATATCAAATTATAACTACATTTTCATACCTATAATTTCTTAATTTTGTTTAATTGTAATTATTAAGTGAAAAAAGTTGCATTTTAACAGTAAATACGCTTCATTTTACTATATTTGCATATCCATTGCCCTCTCTCACTATGAACATGTAGTCATCAACTGCATTCATAGGACTATAGACGCAACTGCTTCTACTATGAATGCAATTGCTCTATCACACTCATGTAGAACAATTTCTGCTACACTCATACACCGTGTTGAGAAGTATATATATGAAATGTTTCATAAGAGGAATAAAAATAAGTTTTCAATAATATTCTTTGAAAAAAAAGGAAATTCAGAATATATTTAAAATTGCTGATTTATATCTAAAAATTCAATTTTGGTCAATGTATTTAATTGTGTAATAAAACTTTTTAAAATTGTAGAGAACTGCCACATTTTTAGCGCGCATCATGGAATATGCCAGCAGAGCAATTGCTTTTCATAACGCCATGTGCACTGAATAACGTTGTTTATTTCTCAAATGATGCGCGAAATATTGCGCAATGGAAACTATAGTCGGCCCCCTTAAATTTGAGACCAAATCAACGTACTTTGAAATTTTTTTTTCAAAGACCGTATATATTTACTATATTAACGCACTTTGAAAAAATGTGTATGACTTGGTCAATATTCTTGAAAATCTCAGGTATGATAGAGAATTGAACCTGTAGGATAACTTTTCGGTGATAAGGTCACTTCGGGCAGAATGGGAAAGTGAGCGATTTTGATTTTTCCATACTCTAAAATTCTTTCTCTCTTACATATTTTACTGCACTTAATTTTTTTTCCAGTTTACATGCATTTCATGTAAACTAAACGTCTTCAACGTCATACCAGATATGCAAATGCATATATTTTGGTGTACCGGGGGGGCACAACTATTGTACAAAGATATACATAATATAGGCTTTGAAAATTTGGGCTTACCTTTGGGGGGAAGGGGGGTTCACTTTCATTTTGCAACCGACGGATATGTATAGGAAAAAAGAGTTGGGCTGAGAGACCTTTTACTCGTCTTCTCCTTGCAATGAGATTAAATCAATACATGTAATTTAAAATGTTTTTTGAAAGATAAAAGCATTACAAATTGATTGTCTCAATTACTAAAACTTAAGTCTATAAGTTTTGTTTGATACATTATTTTTTAAACTGCGTTAAAAGTCCCGATGGTAAAAAAACATTCTTAACGCACTTTGAAAAATATTTTGAAAGTGCGTTGATTTTGTCCCAATTTTAACGCACTTTGAAATTGCTTTTTCAAAATGCGTTTGCACATACCACAAGAATTTCATTTGGCAACTGCTAGTTCATTATGTTTGCTGCAACATGATTAACTGGCGGTCGCCAGATATGTCATTAATAATTAAGTCAAATGAAACAAAATGTATTCACAGTCTTTTACTAGAAAAAAAAGAAATCACTGGCTTCGACTCAAAACAAATGTATATCGACGAAGTATTGACAACTAACAATGGCCATTTCCATTCGATAAATACCGATTAGCTCGGGAAAAAAAAGATCACAGAGTCTGGTACATCTGTTTCATATTTGGATATTTATCTAGAAAAAAAACCTTAATGGTGATTAAACAACAAAGCTTTTTGATAAACATGAAGAATAACTTTTCAATGTCAACTTCCTAGCTTATGATGTAAAATACCCTGATAACATGTATAGGGGTTTATTTCTCCTCAGTTAATATATGAAACCAAAACATCAGCAGTGTCGTATGAAATAATTTTTCAGTAAGCTCTGCAGTCGATACAATTACCATGTTAGCAAACAAAGCTTTTTTTTAAGTCAAATGTTGATTGTGGTTTTTCGTATTACATTTAATTGTACGACCAATATTTAAATGAAAAAGGAATTGTCGACAGAATTTTCACTCCATGGCACCTGATCAAATCACTGATGTTTTAAAGGTCAGTCCTTGCTCTCCTCCTGATTTGTATTAATTTTTCAGATTGAATACTGTTTCATTTCATGCATTATGTTTTTTAACACCCATAAATTAATTTAAATGAAACAAAAGCAACTTTGCAAGGTACTGATATGTAATTTGTGAGACATGCATTCAGTTGTTACCTATGCTGTTCTCTTTGCCAGAGGTTAAAATCTTGACCATCTGCTCACTGAGCGAGCGATATACCGACTGTTATATAAGGAATCATATGCATATATCTGTTTCCTGAATGCATAGTTTTTCATTTACACAATGATAACAATGTTTGTTTATTGAGATGTTTTGAATGGTATCAATCAGCTCAATCCAGAAGTGAGGTCTGAAAATTCCGTTAGGGGAGAGAAACATCTGGAACATAGATCCCGATAAAATACAATATCACGGAAAATACTTTGTTTGGGAGTTGTCCTCTTTGGATTATGAACCTGTTATTCATGAGCTAAATGAGATGGAGTGTTTAATCAGAAAGCTCAAAAGCTTTTTCAAATAATAACTTCCTTAATTACTGCATCAAACGATATCATCTCAATCGTATATACGGCGGATTACTCACAATGACCAAAAATGGTCCACAAAATTTTGATAAATAGATTAACAATAGTTACTGTTATTCTTCTTCACTCATCAGCAACGGAGAATTGCTTAAAGTAAGATATCTTTTTATCATAAATATTATTTTGAAACAGGTCAAATGGTGCTTATGTAGTTGTAAAACGTAACAAAAAGTGATAAAATAATCAATGCTTTAGTAGAATCCTTTTACTTTGAATAGTGATTCTGATTTGACTTCAGTTTGTTGTATATTTATTTTATTTGTAGAACCGGTGAAGCAACATCATGCTGTGCTGACTATCATGTTCTGGACGGAAAATGTGTTCGTAAGTTAAATATGTTTATGTAGAAATGAAGCATTACAACTCCTTTTACCCAACCTAAGGATGTGAAATTTAATCATCTTTTTCAAACTAAGTCTTGAATTTCATAACATATATTGAAATAACGTAAAATATTTGGAAATAACAAATATTATTATATAGTCTATTTATAGTTCCTATATAATCTATACAAACGCAAACAGTTCATAACACTACATATTCACCGGATTTTAGGCCGTATTCACCGGAGGGTCAATGCGCGTGCAACGGCATTGTGACGTCACAATCAAAACATCGAACAACGTTGTAAACATATGGTTACAACGGCTGCAGCGAGCTACGTATCTGAACAGGAAAACAATTATTCAAACCTATTTCAGGATCATTTTTTAACATTTGGACGTCTTACAAAAGCGAAACTCGGAAAGGAAAACACGGAGGTTACAAACAGTAATCTGGAGATTTTTTTAATTTTTCAACAATGGAAAATCGCAAATGAAAATGATGTCATCATACAGCCTTCATTGTCTTATCTATTTAAATCCCGACTATATAATTAAACAATTATGGACTCTTTTGGTGTTGAATATGGTTTGTTATTTACCAGAAAAATATCCATATTGACCTCGGCTTCGCCTCGGTCAATATGAATATTTTTCTGGTGAATAACAAACCATATTCAACACCAAAAGAGTTCATAATTGTATAGTATTAATGCATTATACGTTGAACCTTATATCTGCTTCCAGCATGTCCATCCGGGACCTTTGGACCAGACTGTAAGTACATCTGTACCTACCCTGATTACGGACGGCGATGTCTTGACGGGAAATGTCAGTGTCCAAAAGAATACTGTGATCCCTCAGAAGGCTGCAAGGATTGTGAGTATCTCTTGTATTTTAAAATTGTATATATACATGATATATATATTATTAATTTTAAAAAGATTACATATTACATTTTTAAATTTTAAATAAATTAATTTAAAGTATACATAGAAATCGCAGTAATATTTATGGAAAAAAATTGCATGACTAACTTTTGTTGTACGAAATTAGATCCTCAAAAATATGATTTCAATATAATTTCACTTTATTGATTCATGTTCTATTCGCTTTTTTAGACTCGATCATTCCTAAATCCAATACCCATTCGATTCTTCTGCTATCTCCATCCATCATCCCAAATCTCAGAACTCAATATCAAAGTAACAACAATAAAAATTTAAGCAATCAAGTGAAAGAAGACTTAGTCAACACCACAGAGTCCAGAATTTGTATGCAAAAAATATAAGAATTTACTAAACTTTATACTTAATTTTCTTAAGCACACTCTTAGCTGAATAACATGCCTATTTTCTTCTACAATAAATGTAAACATAAGGGTTCTTGATTCTTAGCTAAGCATATAGCAATAAGTATGTATAATATGTTAATGATTAATAGAGCTACTTCCGCTTTTACTTTCGCTCAATCAAAAGGGCAATATAACACATATAAATATGTAAGATGCACTTAAGTTCCAACTAAACAGTATTTTATTGCAATATAATAAATCAAGGTATTTGAGAAAATTCCGAAATGATTGAGAAAAATAAATTTTATAACCCTGTTTTAATTCTCGTGTCACCATTGATAACGTGTGCAACTCTATCGTTAATTCGATCTACATCAAAGAATAACATAATATTTGGAAAACAGATGCGTGCATCTGATTCTCTTTTCACTTTATATATTGATTGATTATAGTTGGAATATTTCAGCCATATTTCGGCGATACGCTCCAACTTTAAAGTAGCGACATGGCATAAAGCTACTTATGCTGTTATTGAACCTCATTTATGCAGTAGGATCTATTGGGTATTCGCAAGCGTAATATCCAGTCTATATCGGACATTAACAACTTTAACTTTGATTTTCGTTCAATTCTAATAAACTCGTCTGGGTGCAATATGCCCCAACCTGGTTTTAATCCATACGCAAGACCAGGATGGACCAAAGATTAAAAAGAAAAATTAATTCAACATTTTCCTCTACTTATGGTTATTTTGGTCATTTAACTTTCGACGTTACAGATATACCTTGCACATCAAGTCTGAAAGGCGCAAAATTCATAATAAAACTAAATACAGTGAAAAGAGAAAATAACCAATTAAAAAATTATCGCGCTTACATTAGTATTCAATATGTCAGGACGGCCAAGTGTGTTGTAGGACCGACAACATCCAAAAATAAAAGGTAAATGCTTAATTAAACATCTTTTTAGATAATACTTTATTCATTGAAAACATAATAACAAGATAATGTGGGACAATGACATCCACAGATGTCCTCCTATAATTCCCCTCACTAAGGCTGCTAGATGTATTTGGAAAAAAAAACAATGTAATAATAGCATGAATAGTGAATATATGTATAATAAAACATCCATAATTTAATATAAAAGAACCAAACATAAACTTGCAATGCACTGAAAGTTAATTTGTTACATGAGAATTCTCAACAATTCTCAATAATTGTGATTTGTTGATTTTAGCTATTTAGAGAGGTTGAGATTTCATATATGTACGTGTATAGGTGTGTCTATTAGGGGAATGAAGTGATCAATTTTAGTGATGACAATTTTTCTACACGTCCATAGAACTTGTAGAATGTATTCTTCACGCAAATGAACACTCTATTTGCGTATCGAATCAACTGAGATATATAAACCTCGTATGCAGGTGACGAAGATATATTGCTGCATACTTAAGATTAAAGTTAAAGTCATCCCGTTTATCATAGAGCTTGGCTGTAAGATTACAATCAATATCTTTTTAAAGTAAAATATCTTAATGTGAAACAGATGTGTCAGACTCTATGGTATCTTTTGTCTCAAGCTCCTCAGGATATATCATATCGACATAGGAAAAGAAAGTACCATTTTTATTTGACAATACGTCGTCGATGTTTCTAAATGAAGAGCTGAAGGTATCAGCAATGTGTTTTCTGCTTTTCACACATAAGAATTTTGACAAATTCTGTTTCATATGAATACAAAAATAAGTCTGCTAATAATGAATCGCACTTGATAACCATGGGGATTCCAATATATTGTGTCCAAAAACCACATACATATTGTCAATCAGAAACTAAATAATCTTTTTGATGTCAAATTCAGAGTACTTGTGCGTGCAACGAGAATGTGTTTTAACAAAATATTTCTGCAAATCACCAATGACCAGGTAAGTAAATTTACGAATTTACGATTTTAATTTTTCGTGGTTAATGGTGTATATAAAGTTGAAAAGTCGTAAGTTTTTAAACTGTTGATTTTGGTAAATTCTTGTGATTTCCAAATGTCCGAAAGTTCTTTGAAATTTTAAGTATCCACATCTGATTCACACCACTTCTTAAATATATTGTTGCACACACATCATTCCCACGACACTTCAAACTTTTGTTGCACAATTTCTAAAAGAAAAGATGACCATAAGGATGTATAATTATTGATGTCTATCCCATATATAAATATATGACAAATAATAAAGTAAAGCTTTATAAGACTGTCAAGACAATTGTTTCTTTCAACCTGGTAGATCAGTTAAGTGTAGAATAGAAATTCACAAGCTTGCATTTTTTGGGTTCAAATTAGGATTAATTCTAATAAATGTTAAAATCTAAAAAGTTTACAGATGACAGACGAATACAAGACACTGATCAGAAAACTCGCTTGGACCTTAAAATGGCTCAGATGAGCTAATTAAAAGGAAAAGATTAGAGCTAAAAATCTATGCCTGACTAATACTGAATAAAATATAATTTCAATTCATGTGATTTTATTGATTTAAAATTGATAAAACAAATGTTTCTATTTTCTTTTTTGATATTCAGAAATACTTCTTATCATTCCCTCCTGGCGATAATTCAAATTAAGAGAATTTCTTTATTTTCACATAATACTAATAAATGTATCGAACCCATTAAATTAACTTGAGGATCTTTCGTGTATATATGAGGTCAGGTAACCGAGTAGACTGGTCGAGGGTCCTTATCATATCAACCGGGTGACTGTTACTAGAAGGCAAAAGATATAGCTGTATGATAAACGTGAGGATTTTCACTTTTCTAGCGTCACCTTCCCTTACTTATTCAGCAATATACATTCAGCATCTGCATACGGAGTTTATATATCTCATTTGATTAGATACGCAAGAGAATGACGTATGAACAATTTCACCAACGAGGTAAACTATTGTCAAACAAGTTGATGAAACAAGAATTTCAACAGGCTCGTTTAAAGGCATAATTTCGTTAGTTCCATGGTAGATACAATGACCTTGTCAGTAATTACAATTTATCATTGAGTCTGCTGACTGATGTTTTTCCTACTAATTGTTACTCAGTTATCTATACACAGAATTGACGACGGATTTTTCCGTTCTTTTCTGATCATGACAAGAGGCACACGGCGGTATGACCGGTCGGCAGGGGTTGATCACTCCTCCAGGGCACCTGGTCCCACCTCTGATGTTTTGGAGGTTCGTACTTGCTCTGTTCCTATTTTGTATTGTTGTTCTATGGACTTTTGATCTGAAATAATGTTCGTTATCTCCATTTCTACCATTCTGTTTTTCTTATCAAGAATAGAAATGAAAGGATTTATAATTGTACTTTTCTCACAATTATCCTATACAAATACTCGCATGAAATCATTTCCTACAATCATTTTCATTACATGTTTCACAACTGAACTAGTTTTTCCGAGGAGACAAGTGCTTATTAGACTTTCAATATTGGAAAATTTTGATAAAATTAAAAGACAAGAATACATCACAGATAACGATGAGGAAAATGATTACAAGATAAATTAATTAAACAATTCAGAAAGGGAGTTAAATTATAAATTCTAATGAAAATAGTATATATATTCCGGGATATCACTAATAATTTGAAAGTTGACCCCAGCTAAATTAACTTCCTAATTTATTTGTTGAAGAATCATTTCAGTCACCTGTTTTATTTATTTTGAATACATGAATACATGACAAAATAATAATGAGGGGTTCACTTTTCTGGATAGTATCGAAAAGTATTTCCCGATCATGACAAGTAGCATACGGCGGATGTTACTGGTCAGTAGGGGATGCTCATTCCTCCACTGCACCTGATCCCACCTCTGATGTTTGGGAGGTCCAAATTTGCTTTGCTCCTATTTTGTACTGTTTTATGGACTTTTGATCTTGAATACTGCTTGTTATCGCCATATGTATCACTCCATCCACATTTGTAATTTGATTGCTTTATACATTCACCTTTATTGAGTAACTTATACGTTTTATTGCATATACTATGATGCAGATACAATTATCAGAATTTACTCACGGAAAAGAAGTTGATAAAAGTTTTTAAAAAGCTTGAACCAATTATGTCATCGGTTGAAATCGCTTAGCTTGTTGGCAAAATAATATGAGTGAAAGCTGACTAAGGTGCAAGTGAGAAAAAAAAAACAAAAGGCAAATTATAAATCGGGCTAAATCTTTATATTAAACAATAAATACTGTCAGTACTGAGCTAAAAGTGTACCCAGATTCCAATATGAGATGGATACCCTTCAATATTAATGAAATAATGGTAGTGACCATGTTTTGCTATGGGAAACCTGAAATATGTGCCCGATCAAGAAGTAAAACAAAGGTTCACAATGACACTATGGTAGAAAGCATCCCCTGCCGACCGGTCACACCCGCGGTGTGCTCCTTGTCATGATCAGGAAATAACGGGAAAAATTCGTCGTCCATTCAGTGTATAAATAATGGACTAACAATTGGTATGAAAAACGTCAGCTTTCGTCTTTATGTCAGCTTAAAATCCCGCTGGTTATAAATTAACGATTGTAGAGAAACTTGAAATTAATACCAAGAGAGACACTTATGGTCTGACTGAAAATCTTTTCTGAAATTTATTGATTCCAGAAATATCTTTAGCTATAACCATCTTTGAGACAGGACTCTTTATCAAATATTTTAGAAAGTTCAAAATTTCATGGTTTGGGGAAAAATATTAAAATTTAGTTGAGTTTAGTACTGCGTGTGAAAATTACATTTCATGTTTGACATTTTTTTTAACTTTAGAAATAAATATTTCATAAAAATAACTTGACTTTCTCTTGATTTTCTATATATTTCGAATTCAAACTTTGAAACGGACTTATCATTTAATAAAGCACATGTTGCTTTATTAATTGGAAAGACCCTAGAGAGGTTACAATTGTTCTTTCCACTATTCGGTTATAAGGAAAGACGTAAATGACTCTTCTGCGAGGCTCTCAAAAATTATTATAGACAATCTGGAATATTTCTCATTATAAGTAGTTTTAATAAGTTGAAATGAAGAGATCATTCATTTCATACGGTTTATTTCACCAAAAATAATCTTAAAAATCATTATTTAAACCGGAATTTATTAAATTATTATAAGGAATTTCCCTATTGTCTTTTTTACCTATGTTTCAAATTCCATGCATGTTTAATCTACAAATCTTTTGTACTTGGTACTGATGGAAAATAAATATGCTTACTTGTGTATATTTTGTCTTTTTCGAAGTATACAAAACAGTGTAAAAGAGACCTTATAATGTATTGTGGGGTATTTTTGTGGAGCTATTATTTTGGGGGTTATACGATTTTTCCTATTGTACACATGTAATAAAAAAGATTTCCAATAAGCCCCGGAGTGGGTCCTGTCCACTGGTACCTGTGTTAAAAAATAATTCATTGAAACATATAAAGCAGAGAATGTTGATTCTAATTCGTTCCAATATTGCATCTTCGTTTGCCCCTGGAAGTCTTAAATAGGGTTCACTTATCAATACTTATTTGATTTGGGGTTTTTTTTTTCAATAAAATATTTCGGTGTGTAATCTTGAGAGGCCTATGTTTTTTTTTTTTTTTTACTTAATTTTGTCTAAACTTTTTAGAATTTATTTTTATCATATTTAATCTCCGCCCAACGAAACACAGTTTCAATGAATTTTAATTGGTCCCAAAATCGTATCGCAAATTAAGACAATTTGGCTATC